CACCACATGAGGAGCAGTATTAAAGGGTTGCTGCATTAGGAAGGTTGAGAACCACTGGCTTAGATCATATTTTCATTTGTTTTGCATTAGATTGATTAATTCTAATAATTACAAAGAAGTGAGATACAAAACTAAGCTTTAAAATCTGTTAAGTAGCAGTTTGCTACTTGTAACGTTTCCTTTTGCCATCGTTGAAACATTTACAACATGTTGGAAGCAGGATTTTGAACTGGTTTAGTCGGGGCTGTGAAGCAGTAAAATTGGAACCGTCTTCCGTTTATGAAGTGTGGGTGCTTTAGATTGGGTGTTCCAATTTTGTTCTATTGGCCATGACTGAACCAGGAAGAACTAGTTCAAAACCCTGGTTGAAAGTATTGGGGAAACTTAATACTGTACTTAGCCATTGAATTCTTTCAGTAAGAGTTGTTGGCAGCTGACTGGTAGGTTGTCTCTTGTATCCTTCTGAAATCATTTATTGAATACTTGAATATCTTAGCATTATATACAGACATACTGATGAATAGGTATATTTGTTTTATACCTAAGGAGTTAATGCCTATGTTTCTAGTTACGTGTCCAGGATTACCAGCCAGTACAAAGTAATGTGCATTTTATAGTTATTATATTTTATTTCTTATATAAACAGACTATTAAGAGAGAGACTGTTAAATTTAACAGCCTGCTAGTAATGTTCTTCGTAGGCTTATTCTCTGATGATTTAAATACCAAAATTAAGAACTTGGTCTTTACCTATGATACACTTAAAAAAATTCCGCTTTTAAACAAATCTTTTCCCACATTTTAAAAAGGCTTAATTCTGATTTTTGTTGAATCCCACTGGTATTTCGAATGTATTGTTTCCATTGCCCTAATTTATCAGTATTTGTCATTGGGATTTAAAGATCATGATATTAATCTGATGCTGTAATTAAGAATCAATGCCACTGAAAGCAAACGTTTTTTAATGAGGGCAGTCTTGGGGCCTTGAAAGGTTTTGATTTTTAAGTGTAGACTATTTCTGTAGAAATAGTGCTGAGTAAGTCGGATTGCTTTTACATCTAGAAAGTGGTTAACAAAACTGCTTATTAGTTTTTTGTAAATGAGATTGCTCTGTGACTTGTCATTGTGAGACTAATAAGCATTATACTGCCCAAACCAAACCCAAATCAACTCCCACTGGTAGCCATCCTGTATAGGTTCTCCAAGGCTGGAATTCCTTCTGGGAGCAGATGGCCTCCGTTTTCTCCCGCAGAGCAGGTAGCAGTCAGTCTAGTGCTTACTAGACAGGGCCACCAGGGCAGAATACAGTGGTTCTTTGAGGGAATTTGACTCTCTAAGGGTTATGTTCATGAAATAAGGAAAAATTTAGAGAAATGCTTCATTTTCCCCTGTTCTAAATAATTCCTTTACTGTGCATTTTAGGATTGTTCACATTTTGCTTTCAGAGCTATTACTTGGAGTTTTATGACTTACAGAAAGAACTTTGAAACGGAATAATTTGTCTGAAATTTTGCTTATGTGTTTAGATGAGGACACCATCTGTTCATTTGGGGTAGATAATGGTGAAAGGTAGGAATAGAAAGCATTTACAAAATGTGAAGGCCTTCGTTTCAAGTGGGCAAGGGGAGATAGCGGGTGGTGTAAGATATGAAAATAATAATTTATCAGGGGTCCATGAGGGCGGGAGGGTGGGGAAGGGAGGGAAAAGAGAGGAGCTGATACCAAGTGATAAAGAAAATGTTTTGAAAATGATGATGGCAACATATGTACAAATGTGTTTGATACAATTGATGTATGTATGGATTGTGATAAGAATTTTAAGAGCCCCCAATAAAACGATGTATTAATTAAAGAAAAAGTTAAGGCCTTAAGTTACTCAATTATATATTTCTCTTGCCAAGTACTATGATATACTTTGTTTCAATGATTGACTACCCAAAAGGAATAAATTATTCCCATGTTAAAAGGTAAAACAAAACGCCATAGTTGCTCATATCTTGTTATCTAGTTTTTATTCCTGATCAGTAGCATTCCTGCTTTGCCATTTAATTATATTGTTCTTTTTTTTTTTTTTTAAGTCTAATTTGTATGTTGACACAAATGCAGAATAGATGAGAAAATCTGGTATGGCTCTGAATATTTCGTTGTATAATATGTGCTTTTCTTAATTGTCACGCAACTAGGATAATTTAAATGTGCTTTTGCCTTGCCACAGCATAGTAGGTACAATTAGCTCTCAACGTTTTTATCATCATTACTGCTGTGTATTTCCCATCACTTGTATTATTAATTTGTAGCTCTGATCTCTAAAAATTCAGCCGGGGGTCGGGGGTGGAGGGGAATTCAGCCTAGAGATTGTTAGGGCTCTTTGGTGATTCATGGAGTGCAAGGATATTTAATGTGAAAAAGAGACTATCTTCAGTTTCTTGGTAGCAGAGTAACCTTGAAAAAGGCCACCCAGGGAATTTATGAGCCACCCTTTCATTCAGAATTCATTCAGCAAATATTTACTGAGTCCCTACTACATGCCAGGCATGGTGCCTAGGCATTAAGCATACCAAAGTGAATAAAATGATCCTTGACCTTAACTTGCTGTTCCAGCAGACACTGCATGGCCACTTGTCACGGGTTTTGAACAGGGAATTTGAACATTGGCTAGGGGACTGCCAAGATGATCTTTCAAATTCATGAGTCTGACTTTGATAGTGGGTTAGTGTGAGGATAAAGACGACACAGGACAGAAACTGGTGGGCAATAGGTGTTTTAATGAATACGCCAGTTATCATCTTATCGCCACATCTTAAATTTGGAGACAAAGGACATTGGTTTTTGAATCATGAGTCGGCGTAAAACACTCATCTTGTGTTTTAACAAATGGACTTCTAGAAAAGAAATGGTTGATTCGTTCAAGCCTGTCTTAGGTTTTCTTGATTTGTTAGACTGGGCTTATCCAGGCCCACCAATACCTCTTTTATCATGTATTTTGTGGTATAAAATTCCCTGCTCAGTTCAGTGACATTTCTAGATCGTGGAGCTTACTCTTGTAAGCACTTAAAACAAAAACAACAAAAACCAACTTAAACATCTTTCGTGAAATTCTGAAATGCCCTCCATAGTTATCAGTCTTTGTAAATGGTATGTAGAATGTCATGATGTCATATTGATCTTAAGCTTCCATCGCCAGGATCGCTGGTGGTGGTGGCAGGAAGCAGTTGGAGTGTGCCGTGTATGCTACCACCCCAGATTGTCTCGCCTTTGGAGTCAGCTTTTGTTGGGAGTCTTGTCATTCTCATCTCTGCTGAGGTTGTCAACCGGTCACCTCATGTCTGCCCGTGTATCTGGTGCCAGCAGCCAGTTCCCTTTCTAATTTATTAATGAAACTAAGCTTTAGGTAGAGAAATGGTGTCGATGGTGATTGGTTTCTTTTATAAAGAAGTGGTTGCATTCACTCCCGGTTTCGATTATGTATAGAATATTGGGTCAAGGTTGTGAGGTAGGTTTACTTGCTTTAGAATTCTACATAGAGTCTGGGGCCCTCCTTGAATACTCAACTCTTTTCAAGTTATTTTTTTCCTTATAATTTCGTAGTCTTTTAAATTCTTTGCCCATTAATTCTTAACACAAGAGTACAGCTCCAAACCAATACGGATGACTGTGTTTGCCAGTTGGTTTTGCTTTGATCTCAAGTGCTGAGCATATGAGACCTGTGTGTTACCTATTTTACTTAGTTTCTTGGTGCTGAACTGGAGTATGGGGAAATCATCTGACAAAACAGTTGTCTTAATTCTCTGGAGCTGTCTAGTAGCTGTCTCCCTCATGTGTACTGCCTTACTGTGTGGGGTGTCATGCTCAGCACACCTGCCTGGCTGGGGAGCCCCTCAGAGGGAGGGATTCAGAAGGGTACCCAACTCTCTTTCTCTTATTCTTCCTTTATGGCATTCCCAGCCCCGCTCTGCCTCATTGCCATGGGATTGCCTCCTGGCTTTCCTTCCTCTTCTGTTGCTCATCCAAACCATGCCTCCTTCCAGTTCCTGGCTCCCTCTTGCACCAGTGAACCTATTCTTTCTCCCTCACTAGGTGCTCTTTTTTCTCTAGAGCAGGGCAATCATCGTGGTAATGCAAAGATCAGTAGATAGATGAGGGTGCGAGAAGAGGGACATTGTAAGAAGCAAATCAAAGTAACTCAGTAACCCTGGGTTCTGCTCTTTCTCAGAGCCTCAGTTTCTTAGTGTGCAAAATGGAGACAATGACACCTATTCAGTAGGATGTGTGTTAGGAATAAGCAGGGTATGTAGTTCTCAGCTGATGGAGATGCTCATCGCTTTGCCGGATCCCATCCTCCTTTTCCCTTTGTTTATAGGTACAGCTTAGCATTCGGAGCATATACAACTTTTTTTTTTTAACAAGCTTGTTTACATTCATGAGGGAATACGGTTTACCCATAAGTGTAAGCAAACTAATGTGGTTTGGGGTTTTGTTTTATAACATCTATTGTAGAAGGTTATCTAGTTAATATGCTAGCAAATACTGGAAGAGTTGCTGCTTATTGCAACAAGAGTAAGAACCAGGACTTCTCAGTGCTGTCTGTTTTAAGAGTACTGTTTTTTCAAATGGATTTGTAGGGTGGATTCCATAAATGTGAATTTGGACGAAATGAGTCTTGTTGATCAGCAGCAGGCATACCAAAGCTGTTGTTTATTTTTAAAGATCATTTTACTGGGGGCTCTTATCATCAGTTGTATCGAGCATATTTGTACATACGTTGCCATCATCATTTCCTAAACATTTACTTTCTGTTTGAGCCCTTGGTATTAGTCCTCTCCTCCCACCCTGCTTTTACTGGTGAGAAGCGGCCGTTTTGATGGCATAGTATCATGCAGCATCTGAGTTTCCAGGTCACGAGATGTGGCCCTCTGAGGAAGGACCACTTATTTAGAAGATAGCTCTTCCATGATGCAACTCTTCTCTAAGTAGTTTTCTCGCTCCGCTTATTTCTGCAGATGGTGACATCACCTGGAATGGATTTGCAGTCGTGGTATCCTGTTATAAAGCAGGAAGGTGACCATGTTTCTCACACACATTCGTTTCTGCATCCCAGGTGAGTGGACGTTCATCCGTTCACCACTTACACTGTGCCATATGAGGAACCCTGGTGGCGAAGTGGTACAAGTTGGGCTGCTGACCTCAGGGTCAGCAGCTTAAAAACCACCAGCTGCTCCACTGGAGAAAGAGGAGGCTTTCTACTACTGTAAAGAGTTCATCTCAGAAACCCACAAGAGCGGTTCTATGCTGTCCTATAGGACCGCTAGGGGTCAGCACCCACTTGATGGTGCTTGAGTTTGCCAGATGAGAGAAGCCCTCGAGGTGCAGTGGGGGCAACATTGGGCAGCTAATTACAAAGTTTGCAGTTGGACCTATTAGCTGCTCTGCAGGAGAGAGATGAGGCCCATCAGCATCCAAAATGATTGGCAGCCTCAGCAACTGCAGGAGTCAGAATCCGCCCCACGGCAGTGGGCTTGCTGATGTTTGTTTTGTATTGCGCTTCAGTACTTCTCTGTTGTTTCTGCTTAGATCTTATGTCTAGTCATTCGGATTCGAAAAACTTTGAGGGAAAAATATAAATGAACTCTTAATTGTATTGAATATTGATAATAACCTTTGCTTGTTTTTTCTGTTTTTTTTTCTTTCTAGAAATAAGTAATTCCTGGGTCCTTGATTTTTTATGTTTGAATGACAAAAACTATATGCTTGAAAATGTTCAGATAATCTAAAATACACAGTAGTAATATTTTGATTTTGACTTGGAGTACGTAAGCAGGCGCAGAGCACGAAGGACTTGGTGGTTATCTGTTGTGGAGGCTGCTGCCTTAAGGTTGCGGTTTAGAAACGCTGCTGTGTGGGAGAAAGATGGGACTTCTACCTCCGGAGAGAGTTACAGTCCAGAAACCCACAGGGGCAGTTAGTTCTGCCCCTGTTCTGTAGGGTTCCCACGCACTGGGATTGACGTGATAGGCACGGAATTGCTGTATTGGTGGTGCTTTTTTGTGTGTGTCAGTGGCATTTAATACTCAACTCAGTTTACCTTTCTTTGTTTCCAGTTACTACTTATACATGTGTGATAAAGTGGTTGCCCCAAATGTGTCTCTGACTTCTGCCACACCTCAGTATAGAGAGGGCACAGGGATGGAGGCATGTAAGTCCACACCAAGACAGCCCGAGAAGCTGCACAGCCATGTCAAACGCCCCAAACTAGCGTCTTACCCAGATGGCTCTCTCAAGGACCAGGAGAATCTGGATTTGAAAACAAGTAGAGGATTGTATAGCCGTGTTGGTGAGTAGTCACATTATCTTTTAAAAATAAAATGCCTCATAAACACATTGATTCATCATTGTCAAAGAGGATTTTTATGTAAGAGAATAATTTAAGCTTGAACTTTAAAAAAAGAACACTTTTTACTCTGGATGATTACTTTGTACCTCAACTGTTAATACCTGTAGAATGGTGATACCTCTAGAGGTTAATTAGATAGACAAGACAGTAAGAGAATAATTTGAGCTTGAACTTTAAAAAAGAACACTTTTTACTCTGGATGATTACTTTGTACCTCAACTGTTAATACCCGTAGAATGGTGATACCTCTAGAGGTTAATTAGACAGACAGACAGACAGTGTAACTTTAACACTGCAAATGCTTTTTATCTGACTCACTCTGTCTTCCTGCCTTTGCCCCCAGCCACCTTCTTTACTAGGTCTTTATTTTTCTTTCTAATTTGCTATGAGCTGAGAAACCATTGAACTAGGTTTCCAGGAAGTACATAGAAGTAAGAGGAGATAGGACTCACGGAAACTTAGTTATGGAATGATGCAGTGATTAAAAATTCATAGATTTAGGGGCCTGGCAGATGGTATAAATGCAGAATGCTGGCTGGAAGCTAAAACGGCTTCTTACTTAACTGTGCCTTCTGAAATACTGCGGACTGAACAGGATATGCCACCTGTTTTATCTCCTACAGCCTGAGAGTTTTGCTGACAGCCTCGGCAGTGTGGCAATTGTTTCACTGCATCAAGCTGTTGAGCTTTCTGATTATTTAACCGTTTCCACAGAGAATTGAGATTCTCAGGGTTTTTTGGTATTTTAATATTGGGGGATTTAAAGTTAATTTTCTTTGTGATTTAAATATGACAGATAATAATTCCTAAGAGGGCATCATGTCATTCTGGCATTTTGTTTTATTTTCTAAATTAATGTGTTCTAGTGACTTTGACATTTATAGTAATTCACATACTGTAAACTTCACCCTTTTAAGAGGAACAACCCAGTGATGTTTAGTGTCTGCACCACATTGTACAGCTATCACAACCGATTCCAGAACTTTGTGTCACCCCAGAAGGAAACTCGCTAACCTATTGGCAGCCACCTACCTTCTCCTCTTCCCAACCTCTACCAACCACTGCTCTGCATTTTGTCTTTATGGATTTGCCTATTCGGGTTGTTTCATAGAAACGGAGTCATATACTGCACGCGGCTTTTTGTGTCTGGCTTCTTCCACTTGTCTTACTGTTTCCCGGTCCATGCTATATCAGTCTTCCTTCCTTTTGATGACTAATCTTTTATGATACTCATGGATACGGTCTACTTTAAAAAGCCCATTCATCAGTTGATGGGTGTGGGGGCTGTTCTTTGGGGTTTTTTGGCTATCATGACAAATGCTGCTGTGAACCTTCCTGTACAAGTGTTAGTGTGGACATATATTTTCAGTTCTCTAAGTATATATTTAGAAGTAGATACTGTTGGATCGTATAGTAGCTTTAAAAAAAATAGCTTTGTTTGTATATACTTTGTATAACATACAATTTAATCGTTCAGTAGTATTAGGAAGATTTGGACAGTCATCACCACCATCCATTTGACTCTTGGTAACTTTGTGAGGAATTGACCAAACCGTCCTCCAAAGCTGCTGCCCCACCTTGCGTTCCCGCCGCAGTGCTTTGGGGTTCAGGCTCCACGCTGTCCTTCGTGCTAGTAGTTGTTTGTCTTCCTCTTTGAGCCATCCTAGTGGTGGTTAGGCAGTCTCTCATTACGGTTTTAATTTGCAATAATAATAATGTTGATAATCTTTTCATACACCAATTGTCCATTTGCATATCTTTTTTGGAAAAATGCCTATTTAGATTCTTTGCTCACTTTTAAGTCGGGTCATTTCATTCTACCAGACCTATGATTTACCGCTTTTTATTTGAGGTCTTTGAAATACATAGCTTTCAGTGTGGATGGGGCCCGGTTTTCCTAGTTGCTTTAGGCATCATGCAATCTGAGTCATGCGCATATACATCACATGAGCTTTAGTTTGTACGTTTAGATCTTTGGTCCCATCTTAAGTTACTTTTTATGTATGATGGGATCTGAGCTAAGGGTCCATTCTTAATCGTTGGCATGTCCATTCAGTTGCCACAGCACCATTTGTTCAAAAGATATTCTTTCTCCGTTGAATTGTCTTGACTCCTTTGTTGAAAATCAGTTGTACATAAAACATGAATTTATTTCTGGGTTCTCAATACTACACTGTTTGTTTTTATGTCTGTCTTTCATGGGGAGACCATACAGCCTTGATTTCTGTACTTTGTTGTAAATTTTGAAATTGGGAACTGTGAGTCTTCAGTCTTTCTTTTTCAAGGTTGTTTTGGCTGTCCTGGAGCTCTTGAATTTCACTATAAATTTTAGAAACAACTTGTCAATTTCTGCCTCAAAGGTAGCTGGGATCTAATAGGGTTTGTGTTGAATAAAGTAGATCAATTTTGGTAGTACTATCATCTTAACAATAGTGCCTTCTAATCCGTGAGTGTTAGGAGAACATCTTTAACATTGATCCACTTTGTCTCTCAATTACTTTCAAATGAACTTTTGTTGTAGTTTTCAGTATACAAGTTTTATACTTCTTTTGTTAAATTCATTTCTAAGTGTTTTGATACTTTTCATGTCATTGCAACATAGACTTGTTATTTAATTTCAATTTTGGATAATTATACGGATTTTTTAATGAAGTGACATTCATACTTTATTGCTTGACTTTTGCCTTTCAAAGATCCACCAATATCAAATAACTCTACAAGTAAAAAGAAATCTGAATCTGCCTCCAATTTAGTCAGAGACACAAGCAAGGCCATGGTTGGTCAAGATGCTGCAGCTTCATCTCCACTCCCTGTCAAAGACGTCCCTTGTGAGGATGACAAGGGGAAAATCATGGAAGAAGTTGTGAGAACTTATATCAAACAACAGGAAAAACTGAACTCAATTTTGCAGAAGAAGCAGCAACTTCAGATGGTAGGTGGTAGTTGTTTATGAAAAAATAACTATTGCATGTTCTTAGGAACATGAACTACGATGAGATGGTGTACATGTACTTGAGCTTAAGTCCAAAATTTACAATGATAAAGACAATTTTAGGAGATGCTTAACTTTTCAGACTGAATAGTTTTCAAGATAATAAATTCAGCTGTGTAATACAAATCAGTATGAAGCGACCTGATGATTGAATTGTGGGCATTTTTCTCTTCTCTCTTTTTTTTCTGGATGAATAAAATGTATGATGAAAATAAGGTAGAAATTGTATTGTGCTCTCTGCGTTGCAGGAAGTGGACATGCTGAGTGGTTCCACAGTCATGAAGGAACTGACTGAGGAGCAGCAACATTTACAGAAGGAGCTGGAGTCTTTGCAGAACGAGCATGCTCAAAGAATGGAGGAATTCTACATTGAACAGAGGGACTTAGAGAGAAAATTAGAGCAGGTTATTAAGCAAAAGTGTACCTGTGATGCCAACATAGAAAAAGATAAAGAAGTCGAATATGCAGCGCAGGTAAGAATTACTGATTCATCTCTATTAAAGGAGTTACTCATGTCCAAGCTCATTTCACTAGGCTACATTTCAAAGCAGAAAATTCTGTGACATATAATGTTGAACTATATTGTCCAAGATGACTTTGTATGTTTTTCATTTTAAACTTGCATTGGGTCTCCATATAAATCAATGGCTAAATTACTAATTGCTAGCTCACAGAATAATAACAGTTACACATCCACTTCTTACTTACCATTATGGTTCACGTCTGAAGGTCAGATCATTACATGAAAACAGAGGATGGCCGCAGCATTACATAACTGCCAAACCACCGAGAATCATGGCCCACTCAAGTTGACACGCAATCTGAGTCATAAGTCATTGTTACTCTTGCTTAGTACTTTGGTGTTTAACTGCGAGACGTAGTTTGTTAGCAGGTTAAGTAGTCGTATAGTAGACTTTTTATATTGTCATGAATGCAAAATGTTAAGTACTGTGCTAGTGAGAGGAGTAGGTGTATATGTAATATTTTAATCCAGTGAATGCATTCTCAAATCAACCAATTGATGACATTGTACTCTTGTCCACTGAATGCAGAAGCCCTAGGGAAAAAATGAATTTGTAACTCACTTCCTGTTCATTGAGGAGCCCCGGTGGCATAGTGGTTACGCGTTGACTGTGATCCACAAGGTCAGCAGTTGGAAACCACCAGCCGCCCAGTGGGAGAAAGGCGGTCTTTCTGCTCCCCTCAGCAGTTACCATCTAGGAGGCTCGGGGGTGGTTCTGCACTGCACTGTCTTACTAGAGGCTTGCTTCATGTCATCATTGACTCTGTGATGGCAGTCATTTGTTTTCTTTCTGAGTTTCCGTTAATTGTAGTACAAACTTGGAGAGCCGGATAAATAATTTGGACATTACCATGTCCTGAGAGAGAAAGGTGCGGGACCTCGTGGAAGTGTTGCAGATATTCAGCTGTCTTGACCCATGGCTTCTCCCTGTGTAATATGTCAGGTTCAATATGTTAGCTCCTCAGTGGTTGTATTATGTAGAAAATAGCTTATTTTGTAAAAAAACAAAATGCCAAGAAACCCTTGGCCATGTTGGGGACGAAATGGAGAGACAAGACTGGCATGAAAACTGACAAAGCCTTTTCATTCACACAGCTGGCCGAGCTGAGACAGAGACTGGACCATGCTGAGGCCGATAGGCAAGAGCTCCAGGATGCACTCAGACAGGAGCGGGAGGCAAGGCAGAAGTTGGAGATGATAATTAAAGAGCTCAAGCTGCAGATTTTGAAATCTAAGACTTCTAAAGAATAGAAGCCTTCAAAGAGATTCATCTATGTGCTCTTGAACAGGGTTTTTCGTCTGTCTGTTGTGGTCTTAGAATTGTGAACAACTTCTACGCGTGTATGAAGATAACAAGACATTCTATCCATTTGTAGATCCGAGAAAGTGAAAGATTCTATATTAGTATATAGATTTTTACATTTTTCAAATGAATGAAAGTGTATGTTTCTTTGTACTCCCCGCTCCTCCCAACTGACTAGTCACAAGACTCTTACAAGTTTTCAACTAGTAGATAAGCTGCCTATATTTCTAATGCAAACTTCAGAGTTGTATACTTTTTTAAAGCTGCGTTGTGTGATAGGAAATCGCTGTGGTCCACTTTGTTATCCCTGCCTCAGACTCACTTTTCCATGCACCAGTGACTTCATGTTTCAGATACACAGAGCTACTCAGAAGGGGTTGGCTCTCCGTTTCTTTTCCATGAGCACAGTCTCCTAAATTGATGATAGTGTTGTGTATTCATTGTTACACAGACAGCGTTGCTTTTACTTTGAACAGCTATGGGGGTGAATTTTCGCCCATTTTCTTCTTTTCCTTGTCTCCTGCGATGACACTTTGTGCAAAGAGAGATTCCAGTGATGAGGTTACAGCGCACCCTATGGGCACAACGGGGAAGGCAACATGCTTTGTTGGGCACTGCTGCTGAAAACAAGCAGTTGGGATTTGTCTTTGAGTTTAAATGTGGTTATATTTAGATTAAAAAATAAGTAAATTTAAATCCAGTAACTTCAGAAGAGGGGATAAAAAATAATACTTATACAGCTTTGTTTATGTTAGTAGTGGTGTGAAAACATTCGTGTTCTTGAGAAAGCTGCCCTCAGTGATGTGTGTCTTTTCCCCAGACCTTTCCCTCCTGTACAGGTTGTCAGGGGTAGCTCTGTGTCTTACTGACGTTTATACGATGGACTCATTTCTTTAATGGATTTGTTCTCCTTTAGATTGTAAAATAGTAAACCCTGCAAGGTTACTTTGGACTTTCGTATGTTTAAATGTTAAGATAAGTCTTACCAAAATTTGCACGAATGGACCATTTTCAATTACTGCTTAATATTAAAATCAGGAATTTACCGTTAACTGATCGTGTATGATAGGCTCATATAGGAAAATTTAGTTATCTCCTACTGTATTGTTTTAGATAATTTTAGCGAAGACAGCAGTTCCATAGTTTGGGGAGGGGCAGAATCTGCACTTTTTTTTGCACAGAAAAGTCTTATTCTTTCATGGAAAGTTTCTTGTTAGTTGAGTCTTTTTAAAGATAGTGGTAAGATTCTTCAGATGACTCTTAAAAAGGAAGAGTCCTGAAGCTATCACTAATTTGCATTCTTTTCTCTTGATTTTTATGTTTCTTGTATTTTCTCATGAGGTACGGTGTGAAATTACTTAACGAGAGCTACATTTGTTCTTAAAGTGAATTAGCTATACTATTCTTAGGGTAAAGGTAGATGCTCTACTTACTGTTAATAGAGCTTTAAAATCATTAGGCTGTCCTTTAAGCAGTGTTCATATTTTGATTAATGGTACTCCCATATCCAAATATATTTTTCAAAGTGTGGTTTCTTCACTGCGCATGAGAGTGTGACCTTGAGAGTAAGTGTGCTGAAATTGTACAACTTCACCCTGTCCTTGGAATTCTCAAGAAGAAACATCCTAAAATGACATATTGTCATAAACATAAAATACCTTTTATTTAGGTCTGGAGAAAGAAAAATCACAAAAGACACTTAGGACACAGTTTTCCTTGTGAATTAAGTGCTGCAGCTTGCCTTTTGGAAGACACTTAGCCCCTATATTTTCATGTATTTTTTTACTCTATTGAACTTTTTTTGGCCTATGTTAACTTTAGTAAATGATAAGCTTATTTAACTTTTAACCCAGAACTTCTAAAATTAACTATTTAATCTTGGAGATAGGTTATTTTAAAAATTCTCAATGTTGCCTAAATACCAGTAAACAGCGCTAAAACTCATTTAGAACGGAGTCCACAATACTTGTAGCCCTTACCTGCCATTGTGCGGTCTTCCTTTTATGGAAGATGCATTGATGTGCCATAAGTCTGTCTTAATGCTTCTTTGAAAATAGTTTTTTAGTCACTTGTGAATATTATACCCATTCCAGTTGAGAGTAATTGTATGTTAAGTTGCACCACATAGCTTTCAAAAGTTCAGAAATTTTGTGATGCTTTAAAAGTGGCCACTGCCACTAAACTATCTTACCCATATAAATTTATTCTGTGCATGCTCATTTGTGTTCTTGGTTGCTAGTTTAAGCTTTGTTTTTGACACGGTTTTTGTGTGCCAAATTTTTTAGGTGAGCAAATATTTTCCTCAGCCTTTGTAATGTTATTCTTTTCAGGAAAAATAGAAAAATGTTTACTCCGAAGTGAAGAAATGGCCTATAAAAAACTGTGCCACATCAGGAAGAAACACTCAAATAATTACCTTTCAGGGTGAGGGGTCAGGCTTAATTTTGAATGGTAGTAGTTTCTTAAAATTGATGAGAAATGTACCACATTTACAAAGGCAGGAGTGTAAATAACAACAACAACAAAAAGCCCTTCCTGCTGTCACTGAAGAAGCTCTACATCACCCCTTTCTTACACAGGCTTGTTAACACTATAAAAGGATTTGGCCAAGAACTTAAGTTTGTGGCTTCTACCAGTTTTTGTAATGCATATTCTTTTGCTTAAATTTCTGTGTACATGAGAGGATGGTTTCTGCTTCATGAACTAATTTTATAACATTTAATATATTAACAGTCTAGACAAAATCATTTGTATATATTGAATTGTAGAGCAGTTACTAAAGTAGGTAAATAAAGAGGGAGTACAATGGTATTTGTAGGGTAGCAATATATTTTAGAAGTCAAGACAGAATAGCTAGTGTATTTGCACATCTGTGGCTTCAGTTTGAAAGAAAGGACAATGATGAATGAACTTTCGTAATAGGAAAAGTGCTCAAGGTATTGGGATAAAATTCAAAGATGGTGATGAAGGTTGTTTTTTTAGTGTGAATTAGGTGGTGGTGAAGGGTTTTCATTAGCTCCTATGATTTTTTTTTTCCCCTCAAAGGTAACATTTATGTTTTGATTACTTAGGGAAGAAGTCCACACTTTTTTCTTTATGCATTTAATCCACATGACAGGACATTATAAATTGAGATAGTGGAGAGTTGTGCTCTTACTGTACACTTACTTCTGTGCTTGAAACTACTTGTTAATAGTTTTTATTGACGCTGTCAGCAATAAAGGACACATAGCTGCTGTATTACACATTGCGGAATTGAAATAAACAGTTTAATTTTTTTTCTAGTATAGAATACTTAACGCTTCACTATTAAGGGAGAAAATAGTATGGGTGTTTTATATGGCATCTTGTATTAAAGGGCAGTTTTTTCCCTTTTTGGTAAAAACTTTTCACTGAATTGCATCTAAACTATGTAACAATTTTTCTTTAATAATAAACTCATGTCATATATAGTGCTTAAGCAGTGTTTTTGAATTAGAAAGTGATCAAATGTAAAAGCTAAAATTGCAAAAAGCCCAGAAAACAAAATAGTGCATTAAGCTAGTTTAATATATAAAACAGATTTATAAGATTTTCTTAATATAGATACCTCACTTGAAAATAAAGCACAGCAACTTACAGAAGTAGTTTTAGTAGAAATATCCTTCTAAAATAATTGCTTAATCTAGGACATCTTTGGGGGATTTATAGTTTGTGAGAAATATAATACTGCTTTTAATCCTTTTAGAAGATTTGTTCATCCTGATAAACCAACACAGTAGTTTTTTAATGTTATTTCTGAATTTCTAACCTGTTAAGGCAGTGAATAAAATACCTGTTCTGCAGCAGTTGAAATAAACTGTTGACTACATTGACCATAATTCAATATAAAATTTTGCCAATGATGTACAGTTTTATGGTTACAATTGCTGTGGTTGGTTGCATTATATGACACACAAAACTGTCCTCTACCTCACGTGAAATAAATATTTTATATGGTTTTATAAACCAAGGCTCATCTATCTGCTCGCTTAGTTTAGGTGAGCAAGACTCATCTATCTGGTCACTCAGTTTACAAATTTTGAATTATATTTATTGAAACATAACTGCTCTTAGCTTATACCTCAATTGTATTTCGTGCTGTTTTCCATTTTCATGCCTTGTAAATAACTTGTAAAGATTGTGATTTAATTCCAAATAAAATCTTGTAATGCCAATGAAACAGATTGAAATCATCTGGGTGTCCTGTGTGACCTTAATTTTCTTGTCCGGTAAGATGGACATTTTCTCCTTTTTTACCCTGTACACGAGTTGACCTTTACCTTGTGACGTTGTTAGGTGCCAGCTCTGACCCATAGCAACCTAATGCACAGCAGGACAAAGCACCGCCCGTCCGTGCCATCCTCACAGTTCTGTGCTTGAGCCCATTGTTGCAGCCAAGGTGCCAGTCCATCTCTTTGAGGGGCTTCCTTTTTCTGCCCCCTCTACCAAATGTCATGTCTTTGTCCAGAGACTGGTCTGTCCTGATGACACGCCCAAAATATGTAAGACAGAGTCTCGCTATCCTTGCCTCGAAGGCGCACTCTGGCTGTTCTTCTAAGACACATCAGTTTGTCCTTTCAGCAGTCCATGGTCACTGAATATTATAATCGGGCATCACCACAATTCAAATGCTTGATTTCTTTGGGTCTTTTTAAATTTAATGTCTTCACATGCATATGAGGCAATTGAAAATAACATGCCGTGGGTCAGTCACACCTTAGTGCTCCACGTCTTTGGTTTTCAGTACTCTACAGAGGGCTTGTATACCAGATTGACTCAATGCAGCTTGTCTTTTGCTCTTGACATTGGCTCCTTCCATGAGCATTGATTGTGGATCGAAGACAGAATTCTTGACAGCTTCATTCTCTTCTCTTTCATGATGTTACCTATTGGTCCAGTTGTGAGGATTTTGTTTGCCTTCTCATTGAGTTGTAATCCATACTGACAGCTGAAATCACTTTCGGCAAGCAAGGTTTTGTCATCTGCATATAGCAGTTTGTTAGTAAGCCTCCAATCCTGCTGCCACATTGTTCCTCATAGAAACCAGCTTCTCTTGATTGTTTGCTCAACACACAGATTACATAAGTGTGAGAGAATACAACCCTGACACCTTTCCTGATTATAAATCATGCTGTATACCCTTGCTCTGTTGAGGCACAACTGCTTCTTAATCCATGTATAAGTTTCTCATAAAGTGTTCTGGAATGCCATTCTCAAGATAATCCATAGGTTGTTATCCATACAATTGAATGCCTTGGCATAGTCGAAAAACCACGAGTTAATATTTTTCTGGTATTACCTTCTTTCAGCCAATATCCGCCTGATGGCAGCCATGATATTCCTTGTTCCATGTCCTCTTGAATCTGGCCTGAACCTGTGGTAATTCATGAACTCCTGTGCAACCATTGTGACACTGTTCTACAGTTTGAGCATTCTGTTTGGTCACCTTTCTTTGGAACAGGTACAGATAGGGATCTTTTCCAGTCAGTCGGCCAAGTAGCTGTCATTCAGATTTCCTGACAGAATAGTGAGTGCTTCCAGTGCTTCTACAGCTTTTTGAAGTATTTCAATTGGTCTTGTATTGATTCCTGGATCCTTATTTTTGGCTAATGCTTTCAGTGCAACTTGAAATTCTTCCTTCAGCACTATTGGTTCTTGCTCATGCTATTTTCTTACATGGTTGAAAGTTGACTAGTTCTTTTTGGTATACTGTTGTGTATCCATCTTTTGATGCTTCCTGCATCATTCAATACTTTATCCATACAATCTTGTCAATATTACAATTTGAGGCTTGAATTTTTTCTTCAGTTCTTTCAGTTTAATATATGAGGGGGTACCAAAACAAAAAAAACAACCCAGAAAAAACTGTTGGGCGGAGTTTTCATAGTATGCATTCCCCCCACCCCCCCACTAGGTGAGCATCAAGCAACTCACTCTGAGCGTACCCAGTGGCGTCACCTGGGAAGGTTCTCTCTGGTCACAGAAAATTTCTTCGTAAAAGTTACCCTCAGGCCTCATTTTTTAAAAAAATTGTTTTGTTAGGGGCTCATACAACTCTTGTCACCATACATATATCAATTGTGTAAAGCACATTTGTACATTCATTGCCTTCATTATTCTCATAACATTTGCTCTCCACTTAAGCCCCTGGAATCAGCTCCTCATTTTCCCCCTCCCTCCCCCTTCCCTCCTCCCTCATGAGCCCTTGATAATTTGTAAATTATTATTTTGTCATATCTTGCCCTGTCCCACGTCTCCCTTCATCTACTTTTCTGCTGTCCATCCCCCAGGGAGGAGGTCACATGTAGATCCTTGTAATCAGTTCTTCCCTTCCAACCCACTCTCCTCTACCCTCCCAGTATCCCCACTCACAACCACTGGTCCTGACGGGGTCATCCACCCTGGATTCCCTGTTTCCAATTCCTATTTATACCAGTGTACATCCTCTGGTCTAGCCAGATTTGCAAGGTAGAGTTGGGATCAGGATAATGGGGGTGGGGTGGGGGAGTGAGGAAGCATTTAGGAACTAGAGGAAAGTTGTATGTTTCATCATTGCTACATCGCACCTTGACTGGTTGTCTCCTCCCTGAGGCCCTTCTGTAAGGGGATGTCCAGTAGCCTACAAATGTGCTTTGGGTCTCCACTCCGCACTCCTCCCCCCTCATTTACAATGATAAGATTTTTTGTTCTGATGATGCCTGATACCTGATCCCTTCGACCCCTTGTGATTGCACAGGCTGGTGTGCTTCTTCCATGTGGGCTTTGTTGCTTTTGACCGCTTGTTTACCTTCAAGCCTTTAAGACCCCAGATGCTATATCTTTTGATAGCTGGGCACCATCAGCTTTCTTCACCATATTTGCATATGCACCCTTTTGTCTTCAGTGATCATGTCATGGAGGTGAGCACACAATGATATGATTTTTTGTTCTTTGATGCCTGACAACTGATCCCTTCGGCACCTTGTGATCACACAGGCTGGTGTGCTTCTTCCATGTGGGCTTTGTTGCTTCTGAGCTAGATGGCCACTTGTTTACCTTTAAGCCTTTAAGACCCCAGATGCGCTGTCTTTTGATAGCCGGGCACCATCCGTGTTCTTCACCACATTTGCTTATTAACCCGCTTTGTCTTCAGCGGTTGTGTCGGGAAGGTGAGTATCATCGAATCAGGCCTCATTTTTTGTGACGGCCGATTTAAGAGGTCAGTGTGCTGCTGTGAAATTTCATTTCCTGTTCTGGGAAAAACGCCACAGAAACTTGTAATATGGAACACAGCCTAGAAGGACAGTACTATGAGAAAAACCTCAAGTGTATGAGTGGTTTTCTCACTTCAAAACAGCTTAAATGTGGATTGATGAGAAACCTCGTTCTGGACGACTGTCAACTTCTGTAATGAAAATGTTTACGAAATTCATGCACTTGGGCTTGAAGACTGGCGATGGACCATTGAAGAGATGGGGAAGTTATCTGGACTATTTTGGAGCTTGGAGCAGCAAATTTTAGTGGAAGATTTGGGAATGAGAAGGGTTGATGAGAAATGTGGGCCTCGGGTTCTGACTGACCAGGAAAAAGAACATCAACTGGAAACATGCTGTGCTTTGAAAGAACAGCTCCCAAGCCACCCGGAATTTTTTCCCCAAGGTAATTACTAGTGACAAGACATGGTACTATTCTTACGACCCTGAAAGCCAACATTAGCCAAGCTAGTGGAAGATGCCATCATCACCTCACCCCCAAATAGCTTACCAAGTGAAATCAAAGATCAAGACGATGCTCATTTGTGGGTGGTTTTTTTTGTGTTTTTTTTTTTAATGTGAGGGGGATGGTGCATTTGGAGTTCATTCCACTAGGTCAGACTGTTAATCAAGCTTTCTATTTAGAGGTTTTGAAAAGATTGTGTAGCAGTGTGGGACAACAAAGGCCTGGTTTTGCCACCATGACAATGCACCTGTTCACAAAGCCGTCTCAGTGCGCCAGTTTTGGGGAAAAGCTGCATGCCTTTTGCCCCATGCACCTTATTCACCTGACCTTGCTCTGTGGGACTTCATTTTGTTTCCATGAATGCAGAAGGACATGAAAGGACAGCAATTTGATGACAAAGAAGAGGTGAAGGAAAATATGAGAGGTGCTGTCAGTCATCCAAACATGAGTTTGAGAAATGTTTCCAAGAATGGAATCACAGATTTGACCACTGTATTAAGTGTAGTGGAGAGTCCTTTGAAGATGATAGGGTTGTTTTGTAAAATTTAAATATATAGCTTAGGGGGGTGGATTCTGTTTTTTTGGGGGTACCCCCTCGTATGCTTTTAATTTTCTAATTCTAGGTCTTTGCATATCTTACAATATTTTGTTTTGTCTTCTCAGGCTGCCCTTTGAAATGTTCTATTTGGTTCTTAACTTCAACGTTTCTTCCATTTGCTTTAGCTACTCTCTAATTAGAGACCAAGTTTCAGTCTTTTCTGACATCCACTATGATCTTTTTGCTTTCTTCATGACTTACGTTCTCGATTTTCTCCCACAGCTCATCGGGTTTTTAGTCCGTAGTGTTCGGTATGTCAAATCTGTTCTTGAGGTGTTCCCGAAATTCAGGTGGGATAGACTCAAGGTCATATTTTGTTTCTTGTGGATTTGTTCTAATTGTCTTCAGCTTTACCTGAATTTATGAGCAATTGATGGGCTGGCCCACAGTGGGCCCTTGGCCTGGTTTTAGCTGTTGATACCGAGCTGCGCCAGCGTCTCTTCCCACAGCTGCAGTCCGGTTGATGTCTGCTGTGCCACCTGGAGAAGTCAAGTGTGTCTAGTTGCCTTTTGTGTTGTTGAAATAAAGGTATTTGCTATGAACAAATCCTTGATTTTTGAACAATTCTGTCTTGTAATCTCCAACTTTATTTTTATCCCCAACCATTTTATGAGGGCATAATCCAGGCATCATGCCATTCAAGTTAGTCATAACTCAGTCATATCAAGCAGTGTTGCACAATCGCTACCACAATCAATTACAAAACATTTTCTCTCTTATACTCCTTGATATCAACTCCCCCCTCCACCCCCAGCTTCCCTGATGTTTTCCCCAGGAGCCCTTAATCTAGTTATTTCTCTATAGATTCACCCATCCTGAGTGTCATCGACTGAAAAACATAGGAAAATACATAACAGTTAAGAAGGCTGGCAACAATAACAAAACACAATAGAGATA